ATTTATTTGTGCTAAGTAGCATATTCTTAGTACTTAACATTCATTTATTAAATCAATTCATTTCTGTGACTTCAAAACAAAGGTTCAACTATAGCCATGTATTTTTTAATAGTATTAATCACATATTATCAAGTTCTCAATATATAACTGAAGTATTTACAATGTATTAGGATCCACTGCTGGCACTGAATTGTTTTAATCTATACTTTGTATAAAATGTTATAAAATTTTACCATATTTAGATAACTATCTGCATTGATTCATTCAACCAAAAAAGTACAAAAGAAGTAGATAGATGACATTACTTTTTCCATTTTCAAGCACAATGAAAAATAAATAGATTTGTTACTAAAATTATGAAGCAAGTGTTTAGTATTTATATTTGGAGTTCTTTATAACAATTTTTTTTAAAGATTGTGCTATTCTGAAAAAGCAATAATCAATTAATTTTAAAGAACCAGTTAGATACACAATTGTCAATAATATATATTTTTGCTATATTACTAGCCTTACATTAAAAGGCAAATTCACTTAGTAGATTGCTTTTCAATTTTTGCTTTTTGGTTCATCTATTATTTCGTTACTTATTGTGTGTGTGCACACATGCAACAACACATACGTGGAAGTGAGAGGACAATTCTGGAGAGTGGGTTCTCTTCCTCTACCATGTGGGTCCTCAGGATCCAATTTAGGTCATCAGGTTTGGTAGCAAGGGCTATTACCTTGATCAGCAATTTCAACCAGGCCCTCAAAGGCTTATTTTCAATAAATACTTATTTAGAAGAAATCACTCATATTTGGTTTCTAGCCATAAATAAAGGACATTGAGTTTATAATTCATGTTCCTAGAGAAGCTAAATAAGAAGGTGATTCCAAAGACAAACACATAGGCATCCTCATGAATATTAACCTTCATCAGGCGATGAAAGGAGACAGAGACAGAGACCCACATGGGAGCACCGGACAGAAATCTCAAGGTCCAAATCAGGAGCAGAAGGAGACGGAGCACGGGCAAGGAACTCAGGACCACGAGGGGTGCACCCACACACTAAGACAATGGGGATGTTCTATTGGGATCTCACCAAGGCCAGCTGGCCTAGGTCTGAAAAAGCATGGGATAAATCCGGACTAGCTGAACACAGCGGACAATGAGGAATACTGAGAATTCAAGAACAATTGCAGTGGGTTTTTGATCCTACTGCACGTACTGGCTTTGTGGGAGCCTAGGCAGTTTGGATGCTCACCTTACTAGACCTGGATAGAGGTGGCCGGTCCTTGGGCTTCCCACAGGTCAGGGAACCCTGACTGCTCTTCGAGCAGATGAGGGAGGGGGACTTGATCGGGGGAGGGGGAGGGAAATGGGAAGCGGTTGTGGGGACGAGGCAGAAATCCTTAATAAATAAGTAAATTTAAAAAAAAAAAAGAAATCATGTAGAAAGAACATTTGGTTTGGTTTATTTTTCTACAGCCAGAAATCTAATACTAAATAAAATTAGTCTACAAGTATACTTGACTGCTTTTCTTTTTTCCACAAAGACTAACTAGAGAATGAGACAGCTTTGTAACTAGATAAAAATAGCTAACATTTTTATTGGCTTATTACATGCTAAGCACCATTTTAAGTGTCTCTCTCTCTCTCTCTCTCTCTCTTTCTCTCTCTCTCTCGTTGACAAAGCTGTCCTGGTTCTACAGACAGACAGTATGAAGACAGTAACTTTTGTGAGGAGTGAGGCCAATATTCTAACCTAGTACTGGTCATGCTACCAGTCCTCTTATTTTATAAGAGTTTAATCATAAACAAACAATAAGAAAACAGTATTCTTAAAACTCCCTGAAATCTTTCTTACTGAAATTTTACAATGCTCATAAAAAAATAATTCATAAGTCAGCTTTCAACAGTTACTTTACTACTAATATTGCAAAAAAGCTTTACTTAGAAAATAATAACAAAAACAAACAAAAATCCTTTCAATTCAGTTATGATCTGGAAAGTACTTAAATGTGAGAGAGAAGCTTTTTCTTCTTGAGCACTTAGAATATACTCAGTATAATTAACACAGTTTTAATTTAAGTACTATATAACTACAGGCTGCTAAAATTCATTTCATGGGCTTACAAAATGGCTTGGCAAGTAAAGGTGTTTTCAGACATGGTCAAATGTCCTGGATCCACATGGGAGAAGACACACACCAACTCAAGCAAGTTGTCCTCTGACAAGCCTATCCCCAACACACATACAGCACACACATACACCTATGTACATATATACAAAAGAAAAACAACAACAAAAGAACCCAGCCCAGAGTATAGTAAAGAGCCTTCTAAGTAGCAGATCAGGTGAGAAGCTAAGCCACAGGCAAAGTGAACTACCAGTGTGATTGATACAAAGCCTCTAAATCTTTAATGTAAAAAAGCATCAATATGCTGCCTTTAAAATCAGAGAAAATAAAGCACATATTTGATATACAATGTCTTTCTGTATACTGTGACTATGTGTTTCTCTTATTGGTTGATGAATAAAGCTGTTTTAGCCAGTGGCCAGGCAGAATATATCTAGGCGGGAAATCAAAACAAAGATAGGGAGAGAAGTCAGAGTCTGGGGGACACCATGTAGCTGCCAGGGAAGCAAGATGCCAGGGAATCATTGGTAAGCCACAATCACATGGTGATACACAGATTACTAGAAACGGGTTAATTTATAAGAGAGAGCTAGCCAGTAAGAACCCTGACCCATTGGCCAAACAATTGTAACTGTTATTAAGCCTCAAAGGGCTTATTTCATAAGCGGCTGTGGGGCCCTGGTGTGCAGAGAGAAACTGGTCCAGTGGGACCGGCAGGACAGAGAAAAATATCCATCTACACATAGGGATTCTGACCTGTGGGTAATGCAGAAACTTATAGACAAACAGAGGTATCTAGTAGATGAAATACTTTAAAGTATCAGGATACCATGACAATTTTCTCTAATTGTGATAACTCACAACCAATATCAATAGTGAATACTTGAGATAACAACTAAACAGTTCACAGACAAAAGCATTTGCTGTCAACAGCTTTCAGAAAATTTTTCTAATTCCTGACCCACAGGGTAAATGACTGAAAATATCAACAATAATACCAAATATACCAAATTTAAGTCAAATCAATCACATGCACACGCACACGCACACACACACACACACACACACACACAAATACCTAGAATTTATATGTATGTAGTCACCAAAGAAAAGATAATACACTCAAAGTGATAAATGGTTTTGTTATATTTGTAGCATCTATGTATCAGTTAATAGGAAATAAACATTTTTATAATGAGTTCACTGGTAGAAAATCTACCTTGAAGATCTAAGACAATGCTGTGGTATTTACACCATAAATGTAATTGTTCAGAGAGTAGAATTTAGCTAGGTGTAGTGGCACACACCTTTAAACCTAGCACTCAGGAGGCAGAGGCAGGTGGATCTCTGAATTTGAAGTCAGCCTGATCTACATAGTGAATTCCAGGACAGCCAAAACTACCTAGTGAAACCGTTCTATTTAAAAGCTAATAAAAAAGAAAGAAAGAAAGAAAGAAAGAAAGAAAGAAAGAGAGGGAAGAAAAAGGAAAAAGACAGTAAGACTTTGTTTAACCAGAATTTAATTCTCTTATTTGACAGAAAACACAGTTAAGAAATTAGAACTTTCTTGGGAGGCAGAGTCAGGTGGATCTCTGTAAGTTCAAGGCTAGCCTGGTCTACAAGAACTAGAGAGCTAGTTCCAGGACAGGCACCAAAGCTACAGAGAAACCTTGTCTAAAAAAAAAAAAAAAAAAAAAAAAAAGGAAGGGAGGGAGGGAGGGAAAAAAAGAAAAGAAAAGAAAAGAAAAGAAAGTAGAGCTTGGGGCTAGAGCGGTGGCTCAGAGGTTAAGAGCACTGACTGCTCTTCCAGAGGTCCTGAGTTCAATTCCCAGCAACCACATGGTGGCTCACAACCATCGGTAATGAGATCTGGTGCCCTCTACTGGCCTATAATACATAAGCAGGCAGAATACTGTATACATAAAAAAATACATAAATAAATAAAAAGAAATTAGAACTTTAACAGCTATATCTTTCAAACTACATATACAAAGTATTGATACATATCATGATATATTTTAATATAGTTATATTCTTATGTTTACATAAGTTATTAAATTCATGCTATAGCATTTCCTTGATAAAGATAGTTTTAAAAAGGTAATACATATAATTTACAAGTTATTTGTTCCTAGTTAGAGATAATCCCAATAAATTTGCCACTCTAACTTCAAGGCTAACTAAAGTTAAAGCTATCTAAAGATAACAGTGGAAGCTGGAGAGATGGCTCAGCGGTTAAGAGCATTGCGTGCTCTTCCAAAGGACCCGAGTTTGATTCCCAGCAACCACATGGTGGCTCACAACCATCTGTAATGAGGTCTGGTGTCCTCTTCTAGCCTGCAGGCATATATGTGAACAGAATATTGTATCCATATTAAATAAATATTAAAAAAAAGATAACAGTGAATGCAGACTAACAAACTGAAAGGCCTGTCCTCAACAGAAGAGTGGTGATTACCCCTGCTTATCATACGGAGTCTAGGAGGCAAGCTGCTGTGGACTGAGGTGTAGCTCACTAACCTATGTGTGAGGACACAAGTTCAATACCTAAAGCATTATCAAAATGACAATTAAAAAGCTAAGATGCATCACACGTTGCCAGTTTTAGGACAAATTGTCAAAAAAAAGCTTTCAATCCATTGTTATTCAATGAAAATTTAGTATGGACATTATTCCAAAGAGATGAAATTAGAAATTAAAACTTCACTTTAACAAAATCTCCAGGTGATTGGTGCACACAATCAAATTTGATGCCTTTGGTACAAAGAATTGAGGCACCGAATACTTTCTAGAAGTGCATGAGTTCCTCTGCTTTCCAAACACTCACACTCAGTTCAGCCCTACCAACAACACACAGCAATCAACTGAAGAGGACAGTACCTTGAGCACTTGGACTTGACCTTCTGTAGTGATCTCTGGCAGCAGCTCACAAAAGGATTGGCACAGACCTACTGCATACGTCTAAAATCCAAGCAAAGGTCAGTATGTGTGTAAGAACACAGCTGAAGTATAAATGAAAGGCTTTTTAGCCTTTTATTCTACTAGGGAATTTATACTAATGGTCTAAGCAAACAATTTCAATTAACACCCCTCTTAGGAAGAATGAAGAAAGATTATAGCTAATAACTTTACTGATGCATTGATTTATGAGTATGTGTTTACATATATAGTGCAATTTCTGTGTTCAATAACAGTGCAACTCTCTGCAGTAGGGAATACTTATAAGGAAATAAAATTTTTACCCCCTAAAGTAACAAACAAAATCTGAACTGTGGAGATATGAGCAGCGGGCTGCTTCCCGCCACCCAGCTAGCTTTACCCGAAATAATAACATGCAAATTGTATTCTTTTAAACACTGCTTGGCCCACTATATCTAGCCTCTTCTTGGCTAACTCTCATATCTTGATTAACCCATTTTTAATAATGTGTGTAGCACCACGAGGTGGAGGCTTACCAGGAAGGATCTTAACCTGCGTCCATCTTGGGAGAGGAGAGCTATAGCGTCTGCCTCACTGCCTTCTTCCTCCCAGCATTCTGTTCTGTCTACTCCGCCTATCTAAGTTCTGCCCTATCCGGCCAAGCAGTTTTCTTTATTAATTAACCAATGAAAACAACAGATAGACAGAAGATCCACCTACATCACTGAACTTTGAAAAGGCACCTTCTGATACCATACAAAACCAAAAATAATATATATAATTATTAATAATGCAAAAGCTATTCCAACATACCTGTAAAAATTCTGTTGATGATAAAAAGATATAGCCATTGATGATCTTAAAGCAGGTTCTGAGATTCTCTGAACTTAGTTCTGCCAAAACAATAATTATTTTTTAAAAGCACAAATTAACTAGCTGTTCAAAATATAAGTGAAGTGATGATGATTCATTTTAGTTCAAACAAGTTGCTATAGCAACATGAAGCACTTGAGTTTGAATTTAAGCATGATTACTAATTTGATTCTGACTTTCTATGGTTCCTGTGGCAGCAAGCATGCAGCTTACCGTTCGCAAGGCAGCTGGATGGAAGCTCTAGGACAGAAGATCAGACAGGATTGACAATGTTTTACCATCAGAAAAATAAAAATAAAAATTTCTATAAACAAGTGAAAATGAAAAACTAAGTTTCAACAAGGATAGTGGCACACAATTTATAATTCTAGCACTCAAGAAGTTGAGGCAGGAGGACTAGCCTTAGTCCAATGCCAGCTTGAGCTAAGAAAAAAAACTAACTTACATACTTCTCTTTATAAATGTTTCTGACTATACTCTAGTCAGTATTTATAAGTTAGTCAGTATGTAAAAGGGCTTCATCCTGTTCAGGAGATAGTTTAGGATAACAGCATAGGGACTCGCCAGACTGGCACTACATAAGACTCCCAAGTTACAGAGTCAAGCTAAAGAAGCCCTTTACCAGAGGATAAAGGGAAGTGGACAGCATACTTCCTTTCATTCCCTACAATGACTAAAAGACAAGCTTCTTCTCAGAAATCAGGAGTAAGTAACAATTGACACTGCCTTTGGGAATGCTTGCATCTTACAGAGAAAAATAGCACAGGGCTATTTATTGAAAAATAAACTCTTGTTTATTGATTGAGAGTTCTGAGGAGGAATGAGGTATGGGAATTTTAAAAAAGGTAAGGGAGGACTGGAGTGGGGAAAAGGAATTTCGGGAGAAATGTGAATGACAGATCTAGCCATCACAGTCATGCACCCACTCAAGCCCCTACTTTAGTTAACCAAAGCTCCGTCTGTGTCAGCTCACATCCACTAAAGTTTTCAAAGTAGCTTCTACTTTTCTGAAACAGAACTAGAACTTCTAAAAGGATTTTTCAGTATAAGTAAATTCTCAGCAAAGGGTCCACATTTGGGTATTTTCTACCTAAATATTCTCTAAGGACAATATTAAACCAAGTTTTAATAAAGCAATTAAAGATGTTTTATGGTGACTCTTAATGGAATTTCAGAGCTGGAGAGATAGCTTAGTAAGTAAACAGATTACTGTACAAGTATGAAGACCTAAGTCTGGATCCACACACCCCTATAAAAAGCTAAACATGGCAATGAATGTTTAATCTGTGTTGGGGAGGCAGAGCAGCGAGGATTGCAGAGACTTGCTGGCCAGCCAGTCTAGCTGGTCAGTGAGCTCTGAGCTGAGTAACAGTACCTTTCTCACACAAAAAATAAAAGTGCTAACAAGATGGCGTAGGCATGTCCTACTCACTCACAAGAACCAGAGCTCAGGTCCCAGCACCTATACCATAAAGCAGAGCATCTTGCAAACACCTGTGACTCCAGACCAAAGGAATTTGACACCCTCTTCTGGCCTGCATGCACACATGGGAACATGGAGCCCACACATGCATGCCAACACATACTCATTTACACACACACAAATAAATAAAGCCAAGAATGACAGAGGAAGACACCTGTTATAGCCCTCCAGCCTCCACAGGTGCATGTATAGGTGCACACATCAGTACACACAAGTACACACCACACACATACACCAAAATAATTAAAAACTGATTTTTTAAAAATAAAGGGTCAATAAACTGCCCTGTGTATAATTAATAAATATGTATAATTAAATATGCCATGAATTTAGGTGTGCAACTGAATTGGTAAACTCCCTTACTAAGATGACTTTAAAATCAAAGTATTATTTTTAAGGGATTTCAGGCTAGGGATATATGTCAGTGGTATGTATGCGCCACACCGATGAGTTCAAGGCTCTGCTTCAACTTAGAACAGTACCTACTGTTTAACAAAAAGGTACTAATTTACTATCATTAATTACTATCAAAATAAATGTTGATATTGGAGAAAGCATCTACTTATCTCTCCAAAAGACTGAAAAAGTAAGTACCTAGATTCTTCAGAGTCAAGAGTCAAATGTGATGTTTTGAAACTGTTTAGTTCTGAGGGAACAACAGCGCCAAGGACAGCTGTACAGCATGGGTGAGGCCATGTGAGAATGACAGGGACGATATGCACATAGTGTCGGAATAGTTAGCTAATCTGTAAGCAATGCGTCAGCAAACAATATATGTGACAATGACTTCAGTGCTTCCTTAGGTGAGACGAAGTATGCACAAAGCTCAGCTTGAATAACTTACAGAACAAACTATAAAAATGAAAAACCAAAAAATGAGTTGAGTAAAACCATAGTATAGAGAAGCAGTTTCAGAATATATTCCTCAAGCAGCATACAGAGCAGTTAGCAAACAAAATTCTTCAGGCAAAGCTCAAGCTCAACTTGTAATTAGTTTATACCTTCATTTATATTGAATTTTTTTCCATAAAGCAATGTTATTTAGCATTTTTCTTTAAATCAATGGGAATTACTTTAAATAAATATGTAAATTTCTATAAAAACACTATTGCTTGTCAATATATGGAACTTTAAAAAATGAAAGGTATAACTATAAAGTCAGGAAAAATACTTGTAAGTTGTGGTCATATAAAACTCAGTTAAGAGTTTAAGACATACCAAGAAGTGGTGACATGTTCTGAAAAATGCGAAGCAGTTCTTGTGTAACACACGGGCTGTTCTCCAATGTCACTAACCTGGGGAAGAAAATAAAATTAACTCTCTACTGACATCCACGTATGCCATTACCACAACTCAAACCTAAAAACCTTTCATATAGGGGACAATAAAAATACTCAGAAGGTAAAGCACCTGCCACCAAGACAGCCAACCATCACATGGTGCCCTCTGAACATCCCTCTTGTGTGCATACACACCAATGTGGAGACAGGGGGCAACCAGGGTGTGAGTCCTCAGGTACTCGGCACCTCTTTTATTTTTTCAGACATATTTTCTCATTGACCAAGAACTTATCAACTACCTAAATCTGCTGGTCAGCAAGCCTACCCTGAACCCACCTATCTCTGTCTTCCTAGTGCTCAGATTACATTGATATGTCGCCAAGGCCACGTGTGGTTTCTTCCTTTCATTCCTTCTTTCTTTCTTTTTTGTGGGCTCTGGGAATTGAATTAACATCTTCACGCTTCCAAGTCAAGTAATTTACAGGCTAACTTATTTCCTCAGCCCTGTATATAACATTTTTACATACACAGAAGGAATAACGAATGTGACCATGGGGCAGGTGGGAGAGCTGTCCCTGACCACAATCCCCCCCCCCCCCCCCCGCTGTAACACAGGGCAAGCATGCCCTGCACCTTGCCAGAGTGACACAATAGAGACAACCCTGTTCATGCAGGTATGGGTGAATCAGCCCCCAAGTTGGGAACATGAAAGAGCGGCCCCAATTTCTCATCTGTCTCGTGGCAGCATGGGCAGAGGAGAGTTGCTCCCTCTACCCATCAACACCTGAGGCAAGTGGGAGAGCTGGCCCTGACCCCCATCAGCTGCAACATTCTGAGAGCAGGCCCTGTACCCCATCGGGGCAGCAAAACAGAGCCATTCCTGTTAGTGCAGTTGTGGAAACACCAGTCCCAAAATCGTGAGCATGGGACAACTGTCACCATTCGCTGTCTGCCTTCTCCTGTCTATCAACACCAGAGGCAGGTAGGCGATCTGGTCCTGTAGTCTTAAGAGCTGGAGAGCTGGCCCTGACTCCCACAAACTGCAACACTTGGTAGAACAGGCCTTATATCTTGCCAAGGCAGCACAATCAAACCAAAACATTAGAGCAGATGTGGGAGAGCCAGAGAGCCAGCCCCAAAACTGACCATGGGAGAGCTGTTTCCCATTACACATCTGTCTTGTGATGACAGGGTCAGAGGAGAATTACCCTGCCCCCCATCCCCACCCAGAAACACTGGAGGAAGGTGGGAGAGCTGGCCCTGTGGTCATAAGAGCGGGAGAGTAGTTCCTGACCACCCCCCCAAACAGCACAATACTCGGGAGTGGAGGCATTGTACCTTGCCAGAGCAGCACAACAGAGCCAATGCTCTTAGTGCAGGTGTAGATGAACCAGCCCCAAAATTGTGACCATGGGAGAGCTGTCAACATTTCCCATCTGGCAGGCCAACCCCACAGATGCCCAGACCCAGATCCAGGGTTATGACTTGGCCTGCTGGAGCACTAAAGGGCCTGACCCACAGACCCAGGGTTGAAGGATTTCCACAACATAGGGCAGCAGTGGGATGTCCAGGCAGAGTCCAGGAAGACTCCTTCCTAGTGGTGGCCCAGTGCAGTGGAGACCAGAGGTCTCTCCCTCTGCTCTCCCTCTCCCTCTCTCTCTGCTCTTCCCCCTTCCTTCTTCCCTCTTTCCCTTCCCCTCCATAACCCACTACAAGTTTATTTTTAAAATGTACTTGTGTAACAGAAATTAATATTTTAATTTTTAATTATAATCTGGAGCAGGTTGTGGGGGTAAACTCAACCTATACCCTATTTTCTATAATGACATTTATCTACTTGATTACATACTGCTCTGACACTGAAACATCAGAATGGAACAGCTGAAATACATCTGAAACATGTGACATATCACTATCTGCCCTTGTACAAAAAAAAAAAAAAAATTGCTAGTTCTGACCTGGAGCAATCCACCCTTATATAAATCTATGAACAGATTTCTATAACTTTCTGATTTAGAACCACTATCTAAAGCATCAGTTCTCAACCTGGGGGTGGAATGACCCTTTCACAGGGGTCACTTAATAACATTGGAAAACACAAATATTTATATTATAATTCATAAAAATCACAAAATTAGTTATGAAGCATCAACAAAATCATTTTATGGTTTAGGTTCACACATGAGGAACTGTATCAAAGGGTAACAGCATTAAGAAGGTTGAGAATCACTGCTCTAGAGACTATTCAAATAACAATACGGAAGATGATAAAGAGTACATTCCAACCAGTAAAAGTCAACCCAGTGACATTTAAGTTCATTAACCTAATATTCTGATATAGAGAATTTATTTACAATTCAGTAATTTATACCAAAAACAATTCTGAGAATCACAACTCTGGATTTTTGTTTTCTATCTTTATACTATTAATTGCTTATATAATGCTGAGGAATGATCACAGGACCTTGCAAGTTTGAGGCAGTCATGCTACCATTGAGTTATACTCTAACACAAATGAAAAGTACTTCATTTCTAAGCAAAAACTAAGGAAAGAAAAAAAGAAGTAGGGCAAAAAGGCAAGAAGCAAATGTTGGGAGCAGTGTGTGGGGCTAAACTCCAAGACCTGGGTACCCACTGGCAAGCCAGTTAAGAGGCTGAAAATAACTCAGTATCCCCCAAAATATCTTATTTCAAAAACTCAAAAATTAAACATTAATTTTTGTTTGTGAAAGTTACCAAGACACCTAGCACACAGGTCAAAGTCCAAATACGAAAGGAAGCATCGTTCCTGTTATAATTGCTTTTTTAAAGATTTATTTATTTATATTTTATGTGTATAGGTATTTTGCCTGTATTTATGTCTGTGTACCATGTACACACAGTGGCTGTGGACGACAAAAAGGGTAAGAGATCCCCTGGAACTGGAGTTACAGATGGTTGCAAATTGCCATGTGGATGTTAGGATCCAAACCCAGGTCCTTTGGAAGATTAGCCATTCCTCTCAACAACAGATCCATTTCTCATTAACCGTCTATCATGAGCCTACACTGAGCAGTAGATAGAAAAAAAGGAAACAACTGGATAACAATTTATTGTACTTATTCTTAAATGCTGAGTATTCAAAGCCTGTTACATGACCTCTACTCTACTGGAACACAAGTAGAGAAGGCAGTAGTAAGTAAGTTTTCCTCTTACCATAATTCTAGACCATCTTCCAGAAGATAGACATGAGGAGGCTGGGAAACATCTGTACTCAGCTGGATAACTGGGAGCAGGAAAGGGTACAGGTTCTTGCTGTCTGCTCCTAATCCCTATAGGAAGTATAAAACAACTTATGATAAGACACTCTAAGACCCTTCACACCACCAATTACTTGCCTCAGAAAACAATTTATATAAAAAAGAGTCTTTTAGGATAGTCCTCATTATAAATACTAGCAAACAAAGTTCTATTTATTATTAAAAAGTAAAGAAATCAAAATATTATCATTCTATCTAAATGGCAACACTATATATATGTATATACAGACATATATATATGAGTGAACCAATGTTCTATGCATCTGTTCCTTTTAAGAAATTCTACATACAGGTTGAGTTTCCCTTATCTGAAATGCTTAAAAAGAAAAGATTAAGATTTTGGATTTCATTTTCTAGAATGTTTACAAATACATAATAAATACCTTGGGAATGGGTCCCAAATCTAAATGTAAAATTCATTTATGATTCATATACACCTTGTACATATAGCCTGAAGGTAACTCAATACAGTGCTATAGTGTATCTCTACTGCTCAAAAGGCAATTGGGAATTCTCTACTTGTGGTATCAAGTCAGTGCCAAACTTTACTGTTTTGGAGCATTCTGAACTAGAATAGAAAAGTTCAACGCATGTAAAAATATTTGTTTTCCTCATGCTATGGAAAGGGTAATAATATTGCTATTTTAAACTATATAAACACTTTCAGCTAAATACCAAACACGAAATGAACCAAGCTGAGATTGGTCATTGCTATCACAGCACATGCATATCTACAATACTATGCAGGCATAAAAAAAAAAAATCACATAGTAAGAAATGCAGAAAATTAAGAAAAAATTTCAAAATTACAAATTGACTTAAAGAGACAAAAAAAATATATAACAATTCCTAAGCAAAGAATTTTTAAAGATACTCATGATCCTGTATATTTAGCAGATACATAAAAATGTCTCCAAGAGAAAATTGACAGAACTGTCAAAACCAGTCAGGAGAAAAAGAAGAGGATACTGAGGAAGAGGGCAGAAAGATTTTTTGTATGTTTTCTAAATGCAGATATTATTTTTCACAAAGAATTTATATTATATGTTTAAAGCATCTAGAACACAAAGATGGAAGAAAAAAATAGTTCAACCTAAAGATCTAGTTTTCCTGTTGCTCTCCTGAGACAGTGATTACCTCACAGTTGAAATACTTTAAAGCAAACATAAAGGACTTTTGGTGGGAAAATAAAAATCAATCTCTAAATCATAATAAATCCAGAAATATCAAATACCATACTTGGGAAATCTTTTTAAATGTCAATACAATTTAAGGGAAATTAAAATGCCATAAACCAAATACACACACACCCCTCGCTCTCAGTCCTGTTTGCTTCTGATTTTGTTTCAGGAGACTGAGCTTGACTATAAGGTCCTGACTGACCTCATAGTTACTATGTTACTATAAGAGTTCATAAGTAAAACTCATCAGCTATTAAGTAAGCTATTGGAAGTGATAAAGAAGGGAAATCATGTTGTAACATTATTATAGATAATGTAAGGGGACATAATTATCTTTGCAATTTACTGTGAAACTTCTTTTTTTCAATTTAAGAAGACAAAGCAAGGTGATATGTGTCTATAATCCGAGCACTTGAGAGGTGAAGGCAAAAGGGTCAGGAGTACAAGATCATGCTAGGTGAGATCATGCTAGACTACAGGAGACTGTATAGAAAAGGAGAGAGAATGTGAATGAATGCACCCTACTGATACTCAGCCAGCTGAGCACACTATGTGGAAATGTATTTTCTCCAAACCTATTTTTGAAGTTCACTCTAATGACTGAAGAATATAATAGTCTAGAAGGTATCCTGACTACTAGTGTCAAACCAACCCATTGTATTATAAAGGAAAAGTTCCTTTTCATACATTCTCTTCCTCAGGTGACAAGAACAACTGTACACCAGTAATAAAATACAACACCGCCCCTTCTGGTTCCTCCTTGTTCCCAATCCACATCTATGCAATAATGCTTTTCAAATTGTTTATCTTCGTGCTTTGGATTTAATTCCAGTCCCAATCATTGTTTTCACTGTTAATAGATTCTCTAAAACATTCAAAACCAGTGTTCCCAGTATTGTACTGGGCTTTATTTTTTTGCCTATTTTAAAAAAAAAAGTATATATATATATATATATATATATATATATATATATATATATATTCTTTTGGCTTCTTGATCTGTCTGTCATACATTAAGCTCTGAAGTTCATGTCCAACTACACTAGCCATGTTGTCACCATGCTGACATCTGAATAAGCTGACTAACTCACAGACTGGACAAAACAATGAAACAGTATAGGATTTTTAAAATGACCTACAACCATAAACACAAGGAGAATATTGAAGAGATAAAAGTGATCCAGTTTGAAGATGAGAAGGTAAGCAGCAACTGACTTAGCAACACTAGAAACCAAAGCTCAAATTAAATAGAAAAGGTGTGTAAGGGGGGGAGCAACAAGATGCTCATTGGATAAAGATATTGCCGCCAAACCTAAAGGCCATGATCAATCCCTGGGATTCACACAGTACAAGAGAACTGATTCCTAGAAATTGTTCTCTCATCTCTACATGTATATTGTAACACATAAACACATATACTTACTTGCAATTTTTAAATAAAATAAAATACATAGAAAAGGGAAGAAGACAGAATGCAGCCTGATTTACATGACTAAACCATTTCCCTACTCCCCCTTATGACTCAGTAACTGGTAGTACCATGCATTTTTAAGAAGAAGCGTGCATATGTTTAGAGGTTTAAGAAGTGAAGGAAAATATGCTAATAAGATAATTTCTGGACGTCTAAAAATAAAATAAGCAAAAACTTGTTTGTTTGAAAAATGACATAGCAAAATCTAATATTGTATATGCCAATTAAAAGTGTTTAAGGTAAAATAAAAAAGGAAAGGAAGAAAGGAAGGAAAGTAGGCGGCGAGTAATGCAATAACGCATCCATATACATAAGCACATAAAGAACAGACTGTTCTCCAAGCAAGCACAAACAGGCTACAAGTCAGCAAGTGGGATCCCATATACACACTCCCTCCCTCCACTCTGCTGTGGAGTGCCCACTCTCTGCATACAGACAAAACACTAATATTCCTTCAAGTTGGAAGTGCTTACAGATGCACTGTGCTTTGTGTAAGCACATAAGCAAACAGCAAAGGGTCAACAGATATTAAAACAGCTAACATAAAAAATACAAGTGAAACAACTAGAAAACAGTATCTTGAAGGAAACAAATCAAATAGAATAAGAGCCTGGAAAACCTACCATGTAAAACAATAATAGTAACTCTGAAGTTACAAAACAAAGACAAACTGAAATAACAAAAGGTTTACTCAGTAAGATTTTAAAAAAAGAAAAAGAAAAAGACCATCAAGGAATGGAGAGATAGCTTAGTAAAGTGCACTGGCTGCTCTTCTGGAGAACCTGTTTCAATTCCCAGACCCACATAGCAGTTTTCAACTGTAATTCAGTTACAGGGGATCCAATGTCCTCTTCTGGCCTTCTGGACACTAGGCATGCATGTGGTACACAGATACATACAGGCAAAACAGCCACAGACAAAATATATTATTAAAGTTCAAGGAAGAAATGTGGAGGCCCACAGAAGGGGATCCATTCCACTTTGACTAAAGGTCAGAGAGTTCACATCTATTCCAGCTCCTTCAAAGTTATGTGACAGAATGATTGACCTAAGGTGCAGCTACAGATGTCTTGCCTAGGCAAAAGGATGTTTTGACCTAGGATATGGTTACCAGGTGTTTTGAAATGAAAGGAGGTAATTATGTTTTCTTGTTCTTTGTATCATGAAGTCTTGTGCCCTCCTCATCTTGACTGGGGTATAGAAGCACTTTGAGTAATAAACTTGGGGTGGATCACAGTGATCACTGGATGCCTTCCCCACTCTATCTGTTGTCTCTTTTCTATTTCTTTACTCAATCCTCACTCTTCCCTCCAAGTACAGACAGACAAGTCTGACAGAGCAGACAAACAGAGCCCAATGTGGGGCCTGGATACAGAAGAAAGTGAAGGACACTGACAAAGGGACACTACAGGTGTAACGTAAAAATCGAGTGCTCGGACAAAAGTAAAATGAAGGTGCAGTGAGTAACTTGGGAGTAAAATTGTAAATAAAAATTTATAAACATGGGGCAGAGAAATAGTAGTCAGGTGTTCCGTAGATTTCATTCATTCATCATTTATGCCCTCGTAATGCTTACACATGCATGGGCAGCCCATTTATAGCAGTTCTCCAGCTGATTCTACCCTGGGCAGTCCTAGATGCTTGTGTTATTGTCATACCCAAGGTTCCACAGTCTTTACTTTATGCTGTCTATCCAGGGTTTTTTGTTGTTGTTGTGTTTTTTTTTTTGCCTTCCTGTTTACCTTATCCCATGCAGTCTTCTAAGCAGTGCTATCTTCGGATATCTGCCGTCATTCATTCTCATAACATGGCTGAAATATATCAAGCACTGTTGCTGTATCCTGTAGTTTACTTCCATCTGTAGATGGAGATGTCTCTTAATGTCATCGTTGCACAGCCTATCTCTTTGTGTGACACCTAGAGTCCTGAGACATGTCATCTCGAACATTCAACTGCTTTTCTGAGGAATATTTTATTGTCTAGGTTTCGGAGTTGTAAAGAAGTCAGCTCAAGACAAGTGTCTCATATACCTGTAATTTTGTTGTTGTCGTTATGTCTCTTGCTGACCACACATTTTCTAGTCCCTGGAATGTAGTCCTTGCTCTCCCTATCCACATCTTGACATCTGAAATAGTTCCCTCCTTTGAACTGAGGTTTCCTCCCAGATAGACAAAGTTGACTGTTTACTTGAGGTTCTGATTCTTTATTACACTGTTAAAATCCTTGTGAGCCCTTTCCAAGTATTGTATCTCAGTCTTCTTTATGTTTGTAGATTTGTTTGGGGTATATTTTGACAGCCAGAAGAGCTCAGGAAGAGTAGCAACAGGTAAAGAAATTTTTAGAGTCTGTAGATTTGGGGGGGGGGGGGGGTGGAGTATATCAAGACAGGGTTTCTCTGTGTAATAATCCTAGCTGTTCTGGAACTAGCTCTTGTAGACCAGGCTAGCCTTACACTGACGGAGATCTGTCTGCCTCTGCCTCCCAAGTGCTGAGATTAAAGGCATGTGCCATCACCACTTGGCTGAGTTAGTAAATATTTTAAACATAGGCCATTCTATATTGGTCATCCATTACTCTTTACTAGGAGGTACTGTAGCCACAGGAGCACGTATATTGACAGGCATTAACTGCTTGTGGACTCTCGAGAAATTGGCTCAAATGTACATGGCATCAAGTTACATACTTTCTCTCTATAAACAGAGGCTGGTAGTCAATGACAGGTAAGATCTTTTTGCCTCCAGTCAACCTATTAAGAGGACATACATGGTGAAATATATGTACCAATTACAGGTAAGTCTGGAAGAAGACACCTAAAACAGGCACAGTCATCAGTCCTATGACAGAAGCATAGGCATCAATAATTAAATTAAAAAAGGAGAACTATGGAGGCCCACCAAAAATGGGCAAGATCCCAAGTCCACGAATCTTGAATACTTCACACCCCACACTCCACTGAGTTCCTTTCTCTTCCCCCTTATATTCCTCTCTCCGCCCAGCCATATTGCTCCTGTCTCCCCTCCCTAGAGATGGGATTAAAGACATGTGATTCCAAGTGCTGGGATCATCTTTGTCTGAGCTCTGTTTCTCTTTTAAACGGATTCAATCTTGTGTAGCCCAGGATGGTCTTGAACTAACAGAGATCTGTCTGCCTCTGTCTCCCGAGTCCTGGGATTAAGGGTGTATGCCACCACTCCCTGACCTGTATGGGTAACTAATATTGCTGCTTTGCCCTCTTATCTTTAGGCAAACTTTATCCATTAAAACACAAATAATATACCACCATTAACTAAACAAGCTGAATGAGTTCGGAAACAGACTCATCTCTTAAACCTCCAAGTGGAAAAACCTAGCCTGACAGAAAGAGAATTCAGTTATAGTATATTAGGCTTCTGACTCTTAAAAACTGTAAGTGATCAGTGAGTGAGCTTTAAACCATCATGACTTGCCTACAGGTCAACCTCATGAACGTATAAATCTCCCTCTTCTTTGGTGACTATCAAGCTGACAAAAAATCAACACACAGAGCAATGAAACTTGTGTACTAAAGAACAAAAATTAATATGGGTATTAATTTTTTAACAAAGGTTAGTAGAACTCTGTCAACTCCACCGGGATCTAGAAACACCTAAGGCAGTGGTTCTCAACCTATGGATCACAATCCCTTCATGTGATACCTAAGACAATCTGCATATCAGACATTTACCTTACAATTTATAACAGTAGCAAAATTACATTATGAAGTAAAAAAAAGTTTGTGGTTGGGGTCACTACAACATAAACAACTATATTAAAAAGTCACAGTATTAGAAGGTTGAAAACCAATGATTTAGTTAAAGGTACTGTCAATGTACTTTTAAATTAGTATGTTTATGTTTCTGGGAGGAGGGTCACAATATAAATACATGTAAAAGGAACAAAATAAATAAATAAAGTATAGGAACTGAGGAGATGGCTCAGTTGGCAAAGTACTCGCTACACAAACATGAGGATCCAAGTTTGAATTCTAACACCAACATAAAAGCACACACTTGTAATCACAGCACAGGAGAGGCAAAGACAGGAAAATCCTTAGAGTTTGCTGGTCAGCCAATCTAATCAGAAATATCCAAGTTCACTCAAAGACCTATCTCAAGATGCACTAAGGAAGACACTAAGCAGAGGCCTGTGTGAATGCACACACATGTATGCCACCCAACAGCCTTGTATAGTCATACAAACATGACCATAAATAATACGATTATGCTATTACTGTGTAATTACATTGGGAATATGCAGGAATAGGAGTAACACAAACAGGTATAAAAAGATTAAAGCTTCATTTTCTGTAAGAACGTCAATAATGTTAAAATACGTAAATAAAACACAGGCTGTTGAAGGCACATATCATTATGTCATTACTAACTTTCTTTTTCTACCTTACCTTTCCAGCTTCTATCCTTTGTCTTAGTCATTTTCTTGTTACTGTGATAAAATACTTTAACAAAGGCAACTCAAAGGAAAAGGAGGTATCTACACTCAAAGTTCAAGGGTACAATCTTCCTAGCTTAGTAACATGCATATATTGCTTATTCATGAAATATTGTACCTTTAGGTACAAAATGCATTTTAAAAGTTTGTATCATTAACCATCTATTTAAAACTCTACTGAGAATGTGTAATAATAATACTCATCTATAAACATTTATAGAAAGAAAAAGTTCAGCCCAAATATCAAGGCATCTTAGGTTTTTTTAAAACTAATTAGAAACTTTTTAATTGAGAATTGCTATAATTCTTAATGTAGAAGGATATCTGAATGGAAGATGTCTTATTTTACTTTTAATAATTCACATTAGAGCCACAGTCTAGATCTCTCTCCATGAACTTTCAGGCTCCTCTCTACCTGCTACCCATCACCACACTTTAAAGTCTGAAACATCTAAAGTTAGAATTATTCCTTTCCTCAAAAGCAGTGATTTCCTGAATCAGGAAATCAGGGGTATGAAAAGGAAAGTAAATCCATGAAAAAAGTAAAGTCCAGAGCAAGTTCACGCTGATATATACTCAGGGACCAGAAAAACTGCACATGGGCACTCAAGTCATGGGTCTGCCATCACTGGAAAATATTAGCAGAAACGTCTCTTTTAAGTAGAAAATACTTTTCAAATATCCTCAAAAATATGCTAAATAGTTGTTTTTGAGAGTGTACGTTTTAAAAGTTTAAAAGTAATGCAAAGACTTTCATGAATAGCAACATGACTCCCATGAAACAGTTAAAGCAACAAGACAACGACAAAGCTGGAGAGCAACATACCTGAACGAGATGGATAAGCGTTGTCAGAATAGCGCATCGCAACATGTTGTGCTCTTCACTCTGCTTCCAGAGGAGAGGCAAATACTGCACCAGACATCCTACATATGGTCGTATCTACCACAAGACAGACAAAAGGGAGACAATGGAATCATTTAGTATGAAGGGCAATGTGCTGTGAGAAATCTGACAAATGCTATGAAATATTAGGCAATTACTAAATGTTAATTTACTCAATGAAAGATAAATCAGATATTTTACATAGAGACCTAAGGTTCTGTGGAAAATATTTTTAAATAATTTTAGGTAAAGTATCAAAGTTATTATTGAATAAAAACTTGATGATATAAAACATCACTTAGAGGTTAATAAAAAATAGTGTTATACCCTGAGTTTTAATAAAAAAAAAACAGCTTACATAAAAATTATACTGTATTTTAATGAGTCAGCATTTATCCATGGAGTCCACAGTTTTCTGATGACATCTCCCTGAGACAATTCCTGAGAACATGGCATCATAAAGGACGTAGGAAAGCTGTATAAGCCCTCACAAAGAAAAAGAGCAGGGGCAATAATGAGGAGGTAGTGTGTAGAGGTCAGGGAGAACTCTTACAAAAGGTGAAACTGTGGGCGACGGAAATGGCTCAGTCAGGAAAGGGTTTGCTGTGAAGGGAAAAGGATCTGAATCCAATCCACCAAACACATATAAAAAAGATGGGTGTGTGCTAGTTATTCCAACTTTGAAAAGATGGTGGTGATAAGCAGATCCTCGGGGTTTCATCGCTGTCCACACTAGCCTGGACAACCTGGAGACCCTAGCTAAAGAAAAATGCGGATGACTCCTGAAGAAGAAAAACTAAAAGCTGCCCTGGGTCTTTACTCAGATGCATATACACGTGCACACACACAAACACAGAGAGGTACAATAAAATTGCTCTACCCAGTATGCTTTGATTAAGTAAATCTGTTTTTTTTAATATAAACTGAAATACAGAAATAGAACACAATCTCTCAGTAAATTTGAAGTTCATTGTTGGCACAGGGATAGGACAGAATCGGTAGCACACATGTGGACATCAAAGAACAACTCTGTGGAGTCAGTTCTCTCTTTCCACCTTAATGTGGGTTCCAGGGCTCAGGCTCAGTTTACCATAAGGGCTTGCACAGAAAGCTCCTTTATCCACTGAGCTTCCTCACTGGTCTAATAATGAATTTACTGAAAAGCTGGCTGGCTGGCTGATTGGAAGGATGGGCAGATAAACGTAAACGCATACAGATACATGCAAACCAACCCCAAGCCCCAAGTTTAGGATAATAATGGAAATTCTACAGGCAGAGCATTCTTAGTGATGAAAGAAATTAAGACTATCCGACTTTCAACATTATCAAATTCTACCTCATGTATTTAAATTAAATATTGCTCCCACAAAGGCTTTTGTTAATTCTGCTTATACAATACCAAACTCTCAAAAGGTAACAAATCTACAGAACTGTTAACATCTCCTCTTGCTGAGACAACAGTAATGAGACAGATAGTTTCCCAAAAAATATTTAAGTGAGATAAAGCCGAATATTAAAAAGACTCATGTCTCACCTTACTTTCATGTATTAACTCATTTTTATTTTCAAAATTTGAATTATAGCATTATAGTAAACAATCAACATCTATTTAATAGCTAATTCAACTTAGTTAAATGGTCTATCTCAAGATCATTCCAGTTAAATACAATGGGGTCAATTAATACGTTAAAAAAAAGCTTCACAAATTTCAAAGAAAAGAGTTCATCAATATGACATTTTCTGAATGTAATGGAGATTTTAGGATGGAGGATGAGGAGCCTGTTTCTTAGAGAGAGCTAGTATGACACCTGTGATTACAATCAAGCAGTTTACAACAGTGATTACCTGGACCACTAGACAGACAAAACAAGAACACACGGAATAAAATGGTGGTAGATGATGAAGTTAGGTGAACAATACACGGATGTTGCTCTATCCTGGAAAATTTTTTGAAATCTTCAGATTTATAAGTGAAATGAGATTAAGAAAAAAAAACACTATATATAATTCTACAAAGAATTCTAGAACATGAATTTTGGCCGGGCGGTGGTGGCACATGCCTTTAATCCCAGCACTAGGGAGGCAGAGGCAGGTGGATCTCTGTGAGTTTTAGGCCAGCTTGGCCTACAAGAGCTAGATCCAGGACAGGCTCCAAAGCTACAGAGAAATCCTATCTCAATAAAAAAACAAACAAAAAAAACCCATGAATTTTGAAGCAGGCCACTTATAATCACTTGCACATTATTTTTAAAAGATATCTAAAAATGTATTAGTGTCATCACATAAATGAAGTCAAAAGCACATACTCGTCAGCATGATTACTTTTTAAAACAGTAAGCGGTGAGCATGTGGAGGAGAAACCCTTGTACATTCTTGTTAGGGACAAATGGTACGTCTAGTAATGAAAAACAGTATGAAGGTTTCTCAAACATTCAGAACTGCAACTATTAAATATTTCAGTGATTTCATCTTAATTTTTTTAAAGGATATTTTTATATACAAGAAATAACATGTATAGTGCAGTGTATCTATGAATCCTTAAACCCAACCAACCATGAATAGAAAATATCCAGGATGTATGTGTGGGGGGGGCACTCTAGTTAGTGTATCACAAACAGTGCAGCATGGCAACTGTTTACGTCATGCTGTGTATTATAGGTAATCTCAATATGACTTAAAGTACAGGGGAGAATGTGAAGCCATTTTATAAGTAACTGGCATCCACAAGCTTTGGTTTCCTCAAGGATACACAGGAATGATTAAAAATATTACTCAGCTTTTAAAAATAAATGAGGAAATCTGTAATATTCAACAATCCAGATGAACCTTAAAGAGTCTGCTAAATGAAAATCAGTCACAAAGAGAGAAACCCTGATTCCACTTCTAAGAAGTATCTCAAATACTCAAACTCACTGAGAGTCAGAGGAGAGTGGTGGCTGAGAAAGGAAATTGGGCATTTACTAATTCAACAAATGGGATAAAGTTCAAGTCCAAGTTACTCAACCTGATCTATAACACGTGTGAATAATCAGTAATATACACTTGAAGATGGACTGAAGGACCAGCTTCCTGTTACGTGTTCTGAAAAGCCTCATGTTAAGTGTTCTGGTGGGAAGGAGAGGAATCTGAGCACTAGTCCAGATAAAAGGAGATCTTCACTTACTGTCCTAATATATTCTGAAACTGTAACATAAACTATGCAATGGTTAACAAATGCTTTAAGAAGGGCCCTGTCTTCGGGGTTAAAAACTGTCATAAATCCTAAATGATATCTCATCTTTCAGATAAAATTTCAACAATATATTTCACAGAAACCCTTTAATTTTTTCCTTTTTCTTTAGATATATGGAAGCTCAAAGACTGTGCGACATAAAACTGGATTGTATGTTTATTTCAACTATATACTTGTCGGGCAATTGTGCTTTTATATTTTGTCATGGGCTTGGAGAGATGCCTTAGCAGTTAAGAGCACAGCTGCTTTCCCAAAGGACCCATCAGTTCCAAGGGATCTCTGATCTCCTCGGGAGCCATGCATGTACAAGATACACAGACACACAAGCAAAACGTCCATACAAGTAAAAATAAATAAAATTGGGGAAAAAAGACTTTTTTCAAAAATAAGAACTAATATTCAAGTAATTGTACCCTATGGCACAAAGAACCAAATCAGACAAAAGTCAAATTCGGCCAGTGAGAGGTAGTTTGAAGGTATGTATGACAAGGAAATAAATAAGCTTGCTCAAAGGTTACCAAAAGTTAAAGAATCAAATAATTGATTTTTTAAAAACCTTTTTCCATCTTGGTCTCAGTTTTAAAACTAAGAATGTATAGTGGATAACTCAGCTCTTGGTTATTGTTCCCGCCCAAACTGCCTAAGCTTCCGCTCCTGAAAGACAAGTGTGAACAGAAATGCAATGGCATTTCCAGAGATGTGTAAGGGAATTCATTTGTACAAGGAAAAAACTTTAAGAAATTTTCACTAGCCACATTTACACAAGTAAATGGGCAAATATTGTTTTTATAATCAACATTTAGCAAATAATTTACTGCAAATGTATGACACTCTAAAGCATATTAGACATTTGTAATAATTCCATATCATAATATACTGTTAACTGGCTGAGGTCAAATTATAATTCCATTTTGTACTTGACACAAATTTAAATACCTTACTCAAACTGAACACCAAGGACAGAGACTTAACAGTTTTAAAAACACTTTCAGTTAGACATCTATATAAGCAAACTAAATGTTCAAAACCATCACCAAATGAAATAATATACTGCTTGTAATAAAATCCCAAAGTGCTGAGAAATACTACATTAAACCAGTGCCAAGATCTGCTCTAAATAATTAATAGTGACTCAAACCTGCCTTTGCAATTAAGCACTGTTTAATTTTAAGACTAGAACTACCATCAAAATTTATGAAGTTTTATCTGAACACCATGGCGCATACCTGTTATCCCAACAACTGAGAGGCAGGAAGATCAGGTATTCAAAGTTATTCTTGGCTATACTGAGGCCAGACTGGGCTACATAAGTCGCTGCCTCAAGAAACTACAACGAAGTATAAACTTTTGACCAGTTACTCATTTTAAGTTCCACCAAAGAAGTCTGTAAGCATAAAATGAGAAATACAAGCAGAGCACTTGGCATAGAAGAGTGGTGTATGATTATCACTCAATAATTAGTAGCTATTCCCATCAATAGCTCTGGGACTATTGCACAGTGTCTGGATTCGCCAATAAGTAGATCCAAGAGTAGTTTCAGTCTGTGAACACCAAAACCAACTATCCCAGAAATATTTCTCTGCTTTCCAAAAATATATAAAGTGGAGAACTAAGATATAAAAGCCAGAGACATACACAAATTATCATTGTTTTTTGGATGATTCGTTTTTCATGAAGATCAGGGTGGGGTGACAAGGAAGAGGAGGAATCAGGTGGGGGAGGGAAGAACAGAGAGAGACAACTGGAATGGGGGGGGATATTTAGAGGGTGATGTGGAAATTTAGTACAGCAGAAACTTCCTGGAACCTATGAGGGTGATTATTGCGAGGACTCCTAATAATGGAGGACACAGAGCCTGAACTGGCCTTCTTCTGTAACCAGGCAATACTCCCAGTGATAGAACACCAACCCAGCCACAAAACCTTGCTGTCCTCAAGATGAGCTGGGGGTATAGTGGCTAAAGCTGTGAGAGTGGCCAAGGAATGACTGAGCTAACTTGAGACTTGAGACCCTCGCCACAAGAGGGAGCTCATGCCTGACATTGCCTAAATGACCAGAAACCAGAAGCAGAACAGAGACTTCAGAGAGGCTGTCTCCAGCAGCTGATGGAAACAGATACAAAGATCTATAGACAAACAGTAAGTGGAGCTTGAAAAAAAACCCATGGAAGAGGAGGAGGAAGGAACGTAAACATCAAAGGAGAGGGGCTGAAAATACCACAGGAACACAACTCACAAAAATCAACTAATAAGGGCTCATAGGAACTCAGAGATTGAAGCAGCAATCACAGAACATGCATGGGTCTCCACTAGGTCCTCAGCATAAATATTATTGTTATTGGCTTAGTGTTCTTCTGGGACTCCTGATAGTGGGACTGAGGGTGTCTCTGACTCTTTTGCCTGCTCTGGGAACCCATTTCCTCCTAGTGGGTTCCCTTGTCCAGTCCTGATGTCAGGGTCTGTGTCTAGCCTTACTGTAACTTATAATGCCATGTTCAGTGGCTATCTCTTGGAAGCTTACTCTTTTCTGAAGAAAACACAGGAGCAGTGGATGAGAAACAGGGAAGAGAAGGCAGAGGAGACTGAAAGGAGTACAGCTTTATATATGGTCAGTGTGTGTTATATAAGAGAAGAATAAATAAAAAGATTTAAAAAAATTTTAAACATCATTTTTATACTAAGCAATGGATAAATATGAGCAAAAATACCAAATACATATATGTATATTTGGTATTTTATTTTTGTATTATACTATATACAGTATATTATTTTTGTACTATACTTTTGTATACTTCCTTTGTGTTATATATATATATATTTATTTTTATACATATTGATTTTATTATATATATTATTTTATATAATATATATTGATTTTTAAGTAAAAAAAAAACTTTTTAAGTAAAATTAGGGCCAGGAAGATGGCTCAGTTGATAAAAAGCACTTGCTGAGCAAAACTGACCTGACTGCTCTTATTACCAGAATCTTGTAAAAAGCTGGCTGCCATGTGAGCATCTGCAATCCAAGAACTTCAGCAAACTGTTGAGGCTGAAATAAGACAATCAGCTAGACGCTCAAAAAGGCAGATCGGTGGCACAACTAGACACCTATTGGGGAATATTATTTTAAGGTGTATGGCTTTTGTTTATTCTGTGTCTAAAACACAGATTGTCTAACAAAGAGCTGAATGATCAATAACAAGGCAGGGGCAAGGACAGGCGAGGCTGGCAGGCAGAGTGTAAATAGAAGGAAAGCCAAGGACAAGGAAACAAGGAGAGGAGAACATCAGGGGCCAGCCACCCAGCCACAGAGGAAGAAGGAAAGTAAGAAAGATAAAAGTCCAAAGGGAAAACATAGACAGGATAATTTAAGTTAAGAAGAGCTGACAAGAAATAGGCAAGCTAAGGCCGGGCATTCATAACTAACAATAAGACTGTGTGTGATTTATTTGGGAGCTGAGGAGGGGGCCCCTCAAAAAGCCAAAAAAGTAAAACATCACACAACAGAAACCCTGTCTGAATACAAGGTGCAAGAAGAGAACCTTCTGCCCAGAGCTGTCCTCTCACCTCTGGGCCATACATGTGCACATACACACACATATAATAAATATTTAGAAGAATCTATGGACATATTAAAGAAAAAAAAACACAGTAAAAACAAATTCCTAACAAAACTTGTATTTGCTAAAATACATATTGCTGAGACATTAAACACTCTGAACTCGAAGATTGTCAAGCACAGACTAGATCTTTAAAACTTAAAAAAATTTCCTTTCTCATTATCTCCACACCATAGATATAATGCTAATATTTAAATATTCTTGAGTCTTTCATTTTTGGTCTTTAGAGACAGGATCTTGCCTAATCATCCCCCTGCCTCAGCCTCCCAGTCACGGGTTAACAAGCACTTGCCAACACAACTGGCTTTTCTTTGTCACTTTTAATAAATTCAAATATAACTGTCAATTCCAAAAAACATAAATAAAATGACCATCTATTTTATAAGCACTGTAAGAATACTTTATATTTTCCACAATATAGATAAAGCAAAGACATTAAACTCTACATTTATATTTTCACCTGACACTTGCTTTTGTGTTTCACAAATTACCTGTACATTGACTCTTTCAATCACACATGAGAGGACGTGCAAAACATGCATCTTTGTATCACACTCAGTAACCTGCTGCAGCAGCTGAAAAAGCAGTGTGAACATGGTCTCCAAATACTGCAGTAGAAGAAAGAACAGAGGTTCTGAAATGGAGAATTCACCATATACAAATATACAAATACAAACACAAATAAATATAAATATGTCAAAGCAATAAGAAAAAATATAAAACTTTATCAATACTTAAGCTGCCAGTATATAAGACTATTTTTTTCCTTATTACTGCTAAAGGTGTATACATCAAAGCATGCTCATGCTCACACACACTCTTACAATAAATAAATAAAGGTATGTTTTTAAAATATTAAAAATACATATAAATTCAGTTATAAAAGCAAATATAACTGTCAATTCTGAAAAACATAAATGAAATGACCATCTATTTTATAAGCACTGTAAGAATACTTTATATTTTCCAAAATATAGATAAAGCAAAAATATTAAATTCTACATATATTTTCACCTGACACTTGTTTTTGTGTTTCACAAATTACCTGTACATTGACTCTTTCAATCATATATATATATATATATATATATATATATATATATATATTTCAAAGACATAAGTAGAAATTGTTACAAAACCTTGAAACCAATATTCTTACCGGTAAAAATTGATCTGTTCTAAATTCAAAATCATCAACAGGTAAATAGAGTTAAGGAATACTGAAAATGAATGAAATTTATCAAGATAAAAATACATCTACAGCAAATTATTGAAATAACAAATATATGTTTATAATCCGTACATTTTGGGAAAAATACATTTTAACTATCCTACCAAGAAATTTCACAAAGTAACCAATTTTAAAATGTTAAACTTAAGGCTGAGTGTGGCAGCGCAGACCTATAATCCCCACACTAGGAGGCAGAAGCAGGAGGACCAGAAGTTGAAGGCTAGTCTTGACTGTGTAGAGTTCCAGGTCAGGCTGGACACTCTAACTCAAAACAACAAAAAAAGCTGAACTTCTTTACAGTTGAGTCCTTTAGAAAGTTCTTTTCAAGTTTCACTTTTAAAAAAAAAATAAATTAATCTAATTAAAACTACTGTCAGGTTAGAGAGACGAGTCAGTAGTTAAAAGCTCTGGCTGCTCTTCCAGGGGTCCTAAGTTCAATTCACAGCAACCACATGGTGCCCTCTTCTGATGTGCATAATAAATAAATAAACCTTTTTAAAAAAATTTTTTTGAAGGATATTTAACTTCAGAGTTGTTGCTGTTTCAATTCGAACCTAAAAAAAAAAAAAAAAACCAAAGTACAATAAGAGTTTTTAATCATTCTTAGAACTACTGAAAATCATTAGTACTAGATGACAGAAAAATTCTTTCAAACCACTTTCCTGTTTCTGTTTATATCCAATCACAGGGCATATGCCATGTGGAACTGAAAGGATTACAAACCTGAGTTTGTAACAAGTGACCAAAGGAACAAGTACCATCATTTCTGACCTTCCCAGCTTTTCTATAATTGCTTAAGAAGCCTTTATGGCAGGAGGCTTTCCAAGAAGAGAAGAATTTGCCATTAGGTGAATGGAGAGCATGAGATGAAGGAAAATAGCAGAAGATGCCAGGGGAAAAAGAAAAGAGAGCAGCATGAAAAGAAGGAACCTGGCAAGCTGGAAGTCACACAAGTTAAGGGGGTAAGGAGAGAGGGAGGGAGAAAGGAAGGGACAGACAGAGAGAGGCAGGAAGGAGGAGTTTAAGCTTCCACCTTTAATCTAATCTCAGTTACAGCAAAGATTCCAAACTCCCAAATGATCTGAGCTTTTTTAAACCCACAGACAAGCTTTAGACTCTGAGACTCACATTTCAATGCACAGAGTACGTTATCTGAGAGTTCATAAGAGCAACATCTTATTATTCTGACTTTAGTTCCCAGACCAAGTAACATGACTAAACTCTACCTTCTAGTCTTTAAAATTGTATCTAAAACCTTTCTTTCCTGGCTAAGAACCCATTCCCTTCCTAAGTGTTACACTTTCCAATCCCTGTAATAGTAACTAGCGTATTCTCTAGAACCATGTTTTTTTTCTTCTAGAGCTGACACTGTCGAGGAGGTTTTGGGGTCTAGAGATGCTGATTCATCAGGCTGACATACCACTAAATCCTGATCTTGAAGTAAGTTACAGATTGCTTCATACAGCATGGGTCTCAAGTCAGACTTGAATTTCACAGAAATCCACTGACCAATGAGCCAAATTACCCTGCGTCGCAATGGTTTATACCTAAGTGGAAGAGAAAAAAATCAGTGAAATATTTAGTATTTAAAGAGGTCTACTTCACTTAGAGTAAATTCCATTTAAATCTAAACTGTAGTAAAAAAAATGTAACTTGCAATTACATAAAAATCAACCTCTAAATATCAATACAAAAGAAACAGTAATGTCCTGATCTAAGGAAACTCAAGCTCTTAGATACAGGTACGGTGTTCTCTGACGCTTCTGTGTTGATGAACTGTATAGTCAGTAGTCCCAGTTTCCAGGAAAAGGAGACAGGGAATGCAAGGACTGCCTGAGTGAGGAGGTGACACTAGAGTGACGACCTTTGGTAGAGTGCTCGTCTCACATGAAGATGCTCCTCGGTGGGTCCCCAGTATCACACGCAAAAGCACTTTGAACCACAGATAGGTATATAAATTTCTCTTCCTCAAGCAACTACAAACAATGCTAACACCATAAATCCTGTAGCTGGTAGCTCTCTGTACCTCGCAGCTCTCTTTACTAAAATAATAATAATAGCCTATATCTATATTTCTATTTCCATCAGTCAATCTCATAAATATTATTTTCATTCATTGTAAAGGAGCCTTTATATTTATCTAAATAATATCTGCATAAGCTTGCTGATTCTAGCTACATGATTTGGAAAGAGGTATGCAATTACCAAACATGACTCAGAATAATATGTGGTCTTAAATCATTAAAACTACAGAGAATTAGCAGTAACAATAATTTATTTCTGATAGTTTTAACTAAAGTGATGTTTCTCAAGATTTTTCTTAGAGAAAAAGAAAAGTGGCAAATTCAAAATATTTCTATCTTAGAATTCCACTAAAAATATCTTCTTGTCATAAACCTTTAGTGACAAAATTCTATTTATTTCTGAGTAAAACAAGACAAACTGATAAGTATACAGTTATTTTAGAAGGTCACAATCTTAAAAGATAATTGAACAGAAAAAGAAATGTTAACTAAAGTTTCAACAAATGTATGTAAACATTCCTTAACTCTAAATTATACAGCCCAGCAATAAGAATTAAAACACAGTAAATGAAACGGATTTGAGAGAACTTTTAAGGATAAATATCACTTCAATGAAAAGTGGAGAACGCCATTTCCTGGGGTAGGAGTTGTTTAAATAGTCACAGAATCAAAAATAACAAGGTGTGTAGTGTAAAGTAACGAAACTATCAGTTTTTAGACTGAAACCTCAGAGATCTCCATGTTTAGTTCTACTCTAAATAAAGAAAATAAAACTCAGAAATTCCAAGGGGACAGTCATATCCATCCAGTTTAGGCTTACCGCAGCCAGGACTCGAAGAACTGTCCCTAAACTGGCAGCAGCAGCACAGGCTATAAAAGCACTGTCCCATGTGTAACACTGACTAGACCAGGACTGTATGTGACAAGACAACCTATCAGTGAGTCAAACAAATGTACGTTAACTCTGAGAAACATTGGTCTAGATTATCAGTCTAACAGAAAATAAGAAGCAAGTCAAATAGTTTTGATTTATCCAAACATACTCAAAATATTAACATTTCAACATATACTCAGCATATTTTACATAGTTCTGTATATAAATTTAAATGAACTGAAACTAATTTCCTCAGCAACAATTTCAAAATGTTAAGCAGCATCCAAGGGGAAGTACTATATGAGACAGTGAGGTTTTAAATCAAATGACCTCCCTGGTGTAAGGATAAAGGGACTCACAATTCTCTCTAGGGATATGTTTTTACTCCTTCAAAGGCTCTCGAGCTTCCTGTGGGCACTGTCAGAGGCTATTTCATACCAACAGCCTCCAGAGGACAAGCTATAAATTACTATTTAACTGGCCAAATTTCTTTGGGCCAAAGTGCTAACTGCCATATGGATCTGGTAATAATAAATTAAGCACTTCTGTAGGAACGTCAAGTACATTCAATTTCTGTACGCGCAAGGCATTTCCATCTCCTCTACTTTTTCTCAACGACCAACTGTATTACTGTGTCCCCACAACACTCACTCTTCGTGGCTATCACTTCAGCTGGGCTACTTACGACCTTAGACCTTGTTGCGGCCAACAGTCTTATTTTGTACATAGCTTCTCCCAGAAACTCAGAGTACTTTCATCTGCTTTCATCTCTACAAAAAGTTCTATTTCTTTTCGCCTACAAACTATTTCTTTTTTTCTTTAGTTCCCCTCACTCCAGTTCAGGGTTTCTCTGTGTAGCTTTGGAGCCTGTCCTAGAAATAACTCTTGTAGAACAACGGGTCTTGAACTCACAGAGATCCGCCTGCCTCTGCCTCCAGAGTGCTGGGATTAAAGGCATGCGCCACCACCGCCAGGCTTTACAAACTATTTCATATTACATCAAATACTTCTTTCAGGATTTACACTTAAGATAAAGTAACATAAAAGATAAATCTTTTGCTTATATTTGTATATTTGTAAGTCTTACATTTTTTTCTGTGTGCGAGATACAAGTAAAATCATACCTTATAGCATGAATAATAAAATCCCAGAGACAATTATTGGGGTTCAACCTGAAGACCAGAAAAAGCAAAGCCACTGGCTTGTACCTCTACCTCAGACCAAAAATAAGCAAGATCCTATCGCCACAAATCTTGGAGACTACACACTCCAGTGAGTTCCTTTCTCTTCCCCCTTATATTTCCCTCTCTGCCTAGCCATATCACTCCTGTCTCCACCTTCCTAGTACTAGGATTAAAGCCGTATGATTCCCAATGCTGGGATTGTGTGAGCTCTGTTTCTTTTAGACAAATTCAATCTTGTGTAGCCCAGGATGGCCTTGAACTCACACAGATGTCTTGAACTCACAGAGATATCGTCTGCCTCTGTCTGCTGAGTCCTGGGATTAAAAGTGTGTGCTACTACTCCCTGGCCTGTATAGCTGACTAGTGTGGTTGCTTTCCCTCTGATCTTCAGGCAAGCTTTATTTATTTAAAACACAAGTAATATACTACTATAATACTTTTTTATTTCAAAAATCAAGAAACTAAAATAGGTGTTTACTTGCCTATTATGAGAAACTTGTAATTCTGGAAGAAGTTGGTTTTTAAACCACTGATCAAAATCAACACTGTCAAACAGCTCAAAAGCAGCTAATCCCACAGCATTATACACTGTGAAGAGAAAATAAAGAAATTAAAGATTTTAGATATTTGGTCTTATATAAAAATCTGAACCTACTTTGAAACATGAAATATAATAAGGATATATTATATATATACACACACACACACAATAAGAATATGGATATTGTATATATACAATACGAACATTGAGATTACTAAAAACATTTTAGAGACATTGCTTAAATTATTTTATTCCAGGTTTTTCCCACTCTTTAGTATTTTCAAACAGAAAACTAAATCCACTGTAACATGAGTCAAATTTCAAATATTATAAAATAATATATGATTCTAAATGAAAGCTGTATTTTATTATCTGACCCCAGTTTATTTTTCCCTAATTCATCTTGCACAACAATCCCTTAACTGCTTGTTACTGTGCAGTTAAAGCAATGAGCAGTCAGATGTACAACTCTACTGTACCAGGTCATCATACCCTAATGCTACAACCCTCCTGGGGCCCTCCTCTGGCAGCCTCACCTTACAACCTGCTGTCACAGTTCTTTATCCATAACTCCCTTGTTTTCCACACCATTAATCATTTCATACAATAGCAGAATTAACTGTATACTTAGTTATCCCCTTCAACTGACAATTCCTACATTTTAGCTATTTTTACACCCCAATTCTCATGACACAAAATCTACCACAAAACAGATCCTCTATGTACTGGACAATACGCCTTTCTAGATGGCTTAAGTTCAACATACCGGCATCTTTGATTAACAGTGCATTCATATCTTCTACATTGGTTGGACCTGAAAAAAAGGGAAGAAATTATCAGTAAAAATTTTAAAAAAACCCTAATTCAAACTTTTAAACTAATTTTAACTCATAAAAATTATATATGAACAAACAAGTTTAATCTATCTATACATTGTTCTAATCAACTTAAGCATATTTATGAAAAACTTATCACGGCCTTACGGTAAAGACATTCAAAGCCTGTCTTTCTAGGTTTCTGAAATATAACAAATTATTATTTATTAGTTACTTTATTGTACAACAGCACATGAGAACTTAGCCGCCTATGTAGTTTTCTCCTCCCACCCACTCCAACTTCTCTCCAGCCTCTGCAGTCACCGTTCTTCTCTTAACTTCTGAGACCAATATTCACTTATTCCATGCGAGTAAGACATGTAGTACTTGTCTTCTAGGGCAAAACTTACTTTTAAAAAGCAGTATTTTAAACTTGTATTTTAAATATATGATTCATAGACATGTGTGATGTATAAAAAGATTATAATTTGTGCAAACAATGTAGAGTAATTAAGCCAAGGTAGTTAATACCCCATCACCTCAAATACTTACCCTACCTCCTTAAATACTGAATGTGTTTTTTTTCCCCAAGTCAGAATTTCTCTGTCCTAGAACACACTTGGTAGACCAGGTTGTCCTCAAACTCACGGAAATCCACCTGTCTCTGCCTCCCAAGTGCTGGAAGTAAAGGTGTGTGCCATTACCACCCAGCTTAATGTTTTTTTTTAATTGGCATCTGATATTTCCTCCTGCTGACTATCTTTTGCCACAATTTATAAAACAGCCTTAAGTTATCCCAAGTGATGTTCTGTGCTCTGACCATTATCTCACTTCCCCACCAGTAACCTTTCTCAACACCATCTACTCTTGGCTTTTATGAACTTGATTATTTTATATTTATGTGTAGGTGAAAACATGTGAAATAGTACACTAGCATAGTATTTTCCAAGTCCATTCATGTTGCCATAAATGATATTGACTCTACTAATGCTAAGTAGTAGTCCACTGTATATACATCTCATAGGAATGACTTCACTATGAAATTTAAAGACTTTAGAATGAAGTGTGGGCAGATCGTGAAGTACTATTCATGAAGGACGACCCCACAGTTGGAAAACACAATTAACCTAAATGTATCTTCTTTTAAATATATATATATATTTATATATATTATATATATTTATATATTATATATATTATAAATATAAAAATATTATATATATTTATATATATAAATATTATATATATATATATAATGTTGTTCAAAGTACTTTGTTACTGGTAAGTATGAATTGTTAAGCTTAACATTCCAATCAGCTAGAATAAGTACACCCAAAATAAGAAAACTGATACAGAACCAGAAAGAAAACTCAACTGTGAAGTCACTGAAAAACTTAATAGCAGAAAATAACCAAGGAGAATGTATCCCAAATAGTTAGGGTTTCTATCGCTATGATAAAACACCAAGTCAAAAGTGACTTGGGAGAAGTGAAAGATTATTTCACCTCACAACTCTCAAGTTACCCTTCATCAATGAGGGAAATCAGGGTGGGAAATGAAAGCAGGAATCTGGAGACCACAGAGAAATGCTGCTCACTGCCTTGCTCATCATGACTTTCTCAACCTGTATACATACAGCACCCATGACCAGTAGCCCAGCAGTGGCACTGTCCACAGTACGCTAGATCCTCCCACATCAATCATCAGTCAAAAAAATGTACCACACACTTGCCCACAGGCCAATCTGGTGGGGGCATTCTCTCAATTGAGGTTCCCTCTTTCTAAATGACTCTAGCTTATGTCAAACAGACATAAAACTAGCCAACACATCTGGCTTATCCTAAAATAGTTAAAAAAAAATAAGCAAAGAATAGACTAAAAAGTGTGCAAAATCAAAACAGAGTAACAAAAGAAGTATAGGCATCATCAAGTTTAGTAATTTCTAACTATCCTTAAAGAAATTAACTATATATTGTAAGTAAACCACATGAAAATAAACAAAGCTCAAACTACTTTTTGTTTGTTTGTTTGTTTTTTGTTTTTCGAGACAGAGTTCCTCTGTAGCTTTGGTGGCTGTCCTGGAACTAGCTCTGTAGACCAGGCTGGCCTTGAACTCCCAGAGATCCGCCTGCCTCTGCCTCTGCCTCTGCCTCCAGAGTGCTGGGATTTAAGGTGTGCGCCACCACCGCCAGGCATAAACTACTTTTAACAATTACTACAATAGATGGACATCTTATTTTTCCCTTTGGCATGTAATTTAAAGAGACAAAAACTAATAGGATTCAGAGAAAAAAAGAAAGGTTAAGAATCTCCTTCTCTCCAAGAGATCCTCCTGTTCAGGTTTCTTCACATATCTACCTACTCAGGTCTTGACCCAACTAACTGGGTAATCTACTCTCCGTCTACCTTCTAGGCGTTTCTGCAGCATCTACCAGCATGTTCGTCTCCTGGATACACTCCTATACTCCTCCATCCCTCCAGCAAAAAGCCTTGCCTGGCTTGTCTGAGGGGTCTTCAACTCCTTCAGTCTTTGAAGCCTTTTCTCTCTGAAGGTTTTTTCTAATTTAAAAATACTCCAGGGGTAAGTTGATCCCGAATTTCCTGAGAAACCGAAACACTGACTTCCACAGTGGTTGCACAAGATTGCATTCCCACCAGCAATGGATGAGGGTACCCGTTCCTCCACAGCCTCTCCAGCAAAGGTTATCCTTGGTGTTTTTGACTTTAGCCATTCTGACAGGTGTAAGATGATATCTCAAAGTTGTTTTGATTTGCATTTCCCTGATTGCTAAGGAAGTTGAGCATGACCTTAAGTGTCTTTTGGCCATTTGAACTTCTTCTGTTGAGAATTCTCTGTTCAGTTCAGTGCCCCATTTTTTTAATTGGGTTAATTAGCATTTTAAAGTCTAGTTTCTTGAGTTCTCTATATATTTTGGAGATCAGACCTTTGTCTATTGCGGGGTTGGTGAAGATCTTCTCCCAGTCAGTTGGTTGCCTTTGTGTCTTAGTGACAATGTCCTTTGCTTTACAGAAGCTTCTCAGTTTAAGTAGGTCCCATTTATTCAATGTTTCCCTTAATGTCTGTGCTTCTGGGGTTATACATAGGAAGCGATCTCCTGTGCCCATCTGTTGTAGGGTATTTCCCACTTTCTCTTCTATCAGGTTCAGTGTGTTCGGGCTGATATTGAGATCTTTAATCCATTTGGACTTGAGTTTTGTGCACGGTGATAGATATGGGGGTTTTGATCCTACTTAATGTGCTGGCTTTGTGGGAGCCTAGCCAGTTTGGATGTTCACCTTCCTAGATATGGACGGAGGGGGGAGGACCTAGGACTTACCACAGGGCAGGGAACCCGGACTGCTCTGTGGACTGGAGAGGGAGGGGGAGAGGAGTGGGGAGAGGGGGAGAAGGGTGGGAGGAGGGGGAGGGAAATGGGAGGCTGGGAGGAGATGGAAACTTGTTTTTTGTTTGTTTTTTTTTCTTCTTTTCTCAATAAAAAAAAATTAAAAAACAAAAATACTCCAAAAATGCATGCCACTGTATATAAAGCAACAACTTAGAAGTTTAGGAGCACTTTTGATCACTTTCTTGTTCCCAGCACATCAATTAGTTGCTCAAGGTAATCAATCAACATATAATAATGAAGTACGCCAAGCACTGAGGTAAAGAATGAACAAAGCCAGAGTGAACATAGTATCTGGAAGCTTCAGTCTAACCAAAGTTACTTAGCAATTAACTACCACAATAATCAAATAACCAAAGTTTGCTTTGTCATCTGACAGACTAATCAAAGTTACTTAGTATATAAAGTACTACTTGTGTATAAAGTACAATAATCAAATCTTCAAAATTTGCTTTGTCATCTTTTAAATCTCCTTTCTGCTACAACTATAAGGCTAAAAAACTACTTGAGCCTTTCTAACTTTCTACAACACACTCTAGAGAGTTTCCTACACCTGTCATTTGGTGCTATTTGTTTACAACAGCAAGATGTATCCTATTCAAAACTGTAATTCCAGGCTGACTTCAATACCACTTTTGCAGGGAAGAACACACTCAGTCTTTCTCAAATTCGTATTCAATGTATGACCAAGACACAGAGCAGTGACCGCAGGAAACATTTAGGCAATCTTGACTCAACATTAAATGGCAAACCATTACAAAGAGCTTACCTTGAAGAGTTTGCATCATTTCTAGAAGTACTGGAGTAAGAGTCTGATTATATTCATGGAATATATCTATAAATAATACTTCAGTGCAAGGCTAGAGAGGGAGAAAAAAAGAACAGATTCCTAGTTTTTAAAAAATGTTATATTATATTGGCTACTGCAACAAAGTAAAGGGACACTCATCTTCAAATTCTAAAACAAATGTTTCCAACTGTTGATTTATTAAAAAACAAAACTATAGGGGCTGGGGCTCAGTGCTTGAACAGATTGCTAGTAAGACATACATGAGGCCCAGGCTTCTATCTCTAGCACCATTTCTAAAATAATAAAACAAAGGAATGCATGATAAAGCCAATTCACACAGGAAACTTCTTTCATTGCTTCAAACACTTGGTGTTATAGACACAAAGTTTGTCTGTCTTTGGTTGTTTTTCAAGACTGGGTTTCCTGTGTAGCCCTGGTTGTCCTGGAACTCCTGTAGATCTGTAGACCAGGCTGGCTTCAAACTCAGAGATCTGCCTGTCTCTCTCCTCGGTGCTGGGATTAAAGGCATATGCCACCAACACCCAGCTCAAAGAATCTTTAATTCACTGTACTTTAAAAATCACTCTACAGCCATACTCACTTATATGCAAGCAAAATGACTGAGTATCAAGAACAGAATTAATATATTTAATAATGTGTTTTCATTGACATAGTCACCCACTGTAGTTCATAAACTCAATTTACCATGAAAAACAGCATTTCTTTTAAGAAATACAAACAGTAACAAAACTATCAAGCTACAAAAAGAATGCTTTGTTTGGATTTTTTTGTTTAAATATTTATTTTATGTTTTTGCCTGCATGTATGTAAATGAACCACATGTATGTCTGGTGCCCAAGGAGCCAGAAGGCAATGGATCCCCAGAAGTGGAGTTAAGGATGGCTGTGAGTTATCACGGAGGCCTCTTCAATAGGGACAAATGCTCCTAATCGCTGAGTCAGTTCTCCAGACATACCTGGACTCTTAGAAGCACTGAGGCATGGGCTGGAGACATAGCTCAGTGATTAATGGCACTAGTTGCAGACCCAGGTTCAGTTCCCAGCACCCAACAAACTATAATGCCACTTCCTGGGGATACAATGTCCATAAAACTGCTGGACAGAAAATATACACACATAGTTCACATTGTAAACGCAAGCAAAACACTCATATACATAAAATAAAATAAATAAATCTTTAAGAAATAAAAAATAAAATAAAAAGCCAGGTAATGGTGGTGCATGCCATTAATCCCAGCACTCCAAAGGCATAGACAAGTGAATGTCTGTTGAGCTTGAGTCCAGCATGGTCTAAAGAATGAGTTACAGGACAGGTTCCAAAGCTACAGAGAAACATCTCAAAAAAAAAAAAAAATCAAAATTAATAAATGAATTGCTAATTAAATAAAGCCATAAGTAAATAAATAAATAGCAGAAACAACAACAAAGAAGCACTGAGTCATGGGGCTGAAGAGATGGCTCAGCACTTCAGAGCACTACCTGCTCTTCCAGAGGTCCTGAGTTCAATTCCCAGCAACCACATGGTGGCTCACAACCACCTGTAATGAGATCTGATGCCCTCTTCTGGTGTGCAGGCAGAACACTATAAGCATAATAAATAAATCATTTAAAAATAAGAGGGGGCATTGACTGTACTTCCAGAGGACTCAGGTCTGATTCCCAGCAGCCAATACAGATAACGCCCTCTATAACACAAGTTCCAGAGGATCTAGTACCATCTTCTGGCCTCATTAGGTACCAGATACACACGAGGTGCACAGAATATATGGAGGCAAAAACGTGCAGATACATTTTTTAAATTTGCTTAAAAAGTCATTCATGCCAAGTAGGTCACAACTGCCTATATCTCCAATCACATGGGACCGGTATCTACTTCTACACTCATGGGCACTACACTAATGTGCACAAACCTACACACAGTCACATACATTTATACATTCATATAATTTAAAATAAAAATAAAATCTTGCAAGCATGTAAGCATTTGGAAAGCAGAGGCAGGCAGCTCTCTGAACTAAGCCAGTCTAGTCTAGATGGTGAATTCCAGTCCTGCCAGAACTATATAGTCAGATTTAGTCTCTAAATAAAAGAATAAAATATTTAAAGTAGAAACAAAAACAATCAAAACCAATCTTATATGTGGTGGCACATATCTTTAATCCTGCACGTGGAAGGCAGAAAGAGGGATATCTCTTTGAGTTCAAGGTTAATCTGGTCTATACTGTGAAACCCCATCCTCCCGAAAAAACACAACACAGAAAAAATTAGTAAGTTATATAAAGATAATTAACAAAGGACAGCTTGATACGTATTTTTACAAATGTTCATAAAGACGATAATTTTATCTTACTAATAATGTATTTTAAAAGCGTCCTATAACAAAAGCAATGGGCTGATCTCTGAGAATCATACTAAGCGGTAAGGGTAATATAGCACATCATTATATCAGTGTATAAAACTGTAAAGCAAGTCCTTTCCATTCCATTCCTCTCTCCTGAAGAGGCAGCTTCTGCCTCTCTCCCTCCTCCCCTTCCCTCTTGGTGTGGGAGAATTGTCTGTATTCTGTCGATCATATTTTAAATAAATGCTGATTGGCCAGGAAGGAAGTATAGGTAGGACAATCAGGCAGGAAGCAAAGGTGGGGCAATGAGAACAGAATACTGGGAAGGAGGAAGCCCATTTCTCCCCAGTCCTGCCAAGACCACAGAAAAAGCAAGATGTGACCTACCCTGCCGAAAAAGGTACCGAGCCATGTGGCTAACATAGATAAGAATAATGGACTATTTAAGTTAAAAGAGCTAATACAAAGCCTGAGCTAATGGGCCAATCAGTTTATCATTAATATAGACTTCTGTGTAATTTCTTCGGGGCTTGCCGGCTGTGGGAACTGGGCAGGACAGAAACCCCAACAAGCAGGACCTCATGTTACACCCCCTTCTCTGTTTCTCTCTCTCTGTGCTCTTCTCCCTTCTCCCGTTTCCCCTCCATAACCCACTAAATAAATACCCAAGTTTTTTGTAAAAAAAAAAAAAAATCAAAAAACAAACTATGAAACAATAAAAAATACTTTATTAAAAATAAAGGTACTTCAAACCAGGCGGTAGTGGCGCACACCTTTAATCCCAGTACCCAGGAGGCAGAGGCAGACAGATCATTGTGAGTTAGAGGCCAACCTGGTTTACAAGGGCTAGTTCATAGTTCCAGGACAGGCTCCAAAGCTACAGAGAAACCCTGTATCGAAAAACCAAACAGAGCTGCCTTTAATCCCAGCACTCAGGAGGTAGAGGCAGGAGGATAGCAGTGAATTGAGGACAGACTCGACTACAAAGCAAGTTCCAGGACAGTCAGATATTACACAGAGAAACCCTCTCTCAAAACAAACAAACAAACAAAGTATCAAGCCTGGTAGTGGTGGTGCATGCCTTGAATCCCAGCAACCAAGAGGAAGAGGGAGGCAAATTTCTAAGTTTGAGGCCAGCCTGGTCTACAGAGAGAGTTCTAGGACAGTCAGGGTTTCACAGAGAAACCCTGTCTTGAACAACCAAAAGGTATCAAAAAGATCTTTATCAAGAAAATATAAAGAGGGCCATTCCAAAGCAAAAGTGTCAGATTTCATTGACATGTTTTCTACTTATACAATAACAATTATTTCTCAAGCAAATTAATAAAGAAAATAGCAGTCTACCATCATCATCCTAACAAAAAAAATTCAGACTAAAATCCATAATTTACAGTTAACTCTGTCCAACTCCAATGTGGAGTTGTCAATGAACACTAGGGCTTTCCCATCCAAATTTCTTTCCATTAATACTCACCCTCAAACTGTATTTCCAAGAGTCTCCTCCTGTTTCTTCCACTGCTGCAATTAAAAACATGAAAAGTAATGCTCTCCAGAAACCTAAAGTGATGCTGCCAAAGCATAGCACTCATGTGACTGTCTGACCCCTAACACTAGATGCCCATCCTTGAGAACCTTTCCTCCGGCTACAAATTACATTTTTGTACTTTACACTTTCCATGAACCGCTCATTTAAATACCTTTTAAGCACTTTTGCTTTCTCGAAAAAAAACTTGCTGGAAAAAAAAGCTCAAACTTCCCGCATTTCCCCAACAGATGAAAATACACAATGTGGCATTACAACTCTGAGAATCATTTTAATGCGTGCAGTCATAATTCTCAAGTTAAAACTTGTCACACTTCCCACAAATTTTCTGTATGTTTAAAGTTCAAGTAAAAATACTTTAGGACAAAAAAAAAACCCTAAGGATTTAATATTCAAAATTCATTTACACATTATAAAATTATATATACTACATTTTTAAAAAGTAATATTGATAGAGTGGACCAAGAAAGAGTGACCAGCTAGTTCCTCAACTAGACAACACAGTCTCTAGGCCATAAACCCAGAGACAAAACCCCAGGACCCCCCCTACACAGGCACCAGCCAGCCAGCAGGCAACCCTCCTACAGACAGGCTGCTCCAACATCCCCCATCAATCCCTGTAATCAACAAGTCTCACCATGCCACTGAACCTACCCATCCCCGTGACCTCAATGGTACACTGAGATACACACTGCATCTGCACAGAGAGACCAAGAGTGGGGCTCCTAAGACATAGACAGCAACTACATGATCCATCCAAGAGTAGATCCCTGAGACACAGACACCGACAGTAAGGACTGGACCAAGAGACAAAGACACTGACTGAACCAGCTGGAGGAAGAGAGGGGTAAGCGCTAATGCAAGAACACATTCAACAACCTAAAGAGCAATATGGTAACACCAGAACCTAGTGGTCCTGCAACATGAAGACCTAAACATCCTAACTCAGAAGAGGAAGAAAATAACCTTAAACATAACTTCATGAAGATGAAAAAGACCCTTAAAGATGAAATGAAAATTTCCCTTAAAGAGATGGAGGAAAAGAAAACAACTGGAAGAAACCAGTAAATCTCTTAAAGAAAGCCAAGAAAACCAAAAAAAGCACAAACAGGTAAAGCAAACAATTCAAAAAGCTCAAGACTTGAAAATTGAAATAGAGTCAATAAGGAAAAGACAAACCATTTCTGAAATGGAAAATATGGGTAAACAAATATGAACAACAGAAGTAAGGATAACCAACAGAATATAAGAGATGGAAGAGAAAATCTCAGGAGCTGAAGATACAATTGAGGAAATAGATACATTGGTCAAAAAAAAAAAATGTTAAATTCAACAAATTCTTAACACAGAACATCCAGGAAATTGAACACCATGAAAAGACCAAACCTAAGAATAGGGAAAGGAGAACGCCAGCTCAATGGCACAGAAAATATATTTAACAAAATACAAAAAACTTTTCAAAAAAAAAAAAAACTTTTCCTACAGAAGGATATGCCTATGGAAAATCTAAAAAGCTTAAAGAACACCAAAAAGACTGAACAACAAAAACAAAAACAATTCCCTTGTCATAATAATCAAAACACTGTAGGGTTAAGACAGCCCCTTGAGGGGGCGGGGTTTGCCTCAGGCGAATGCCTACAGATAAATGGGCGCGAGGCGGCTCCGCCCTTTTCCTTCCTACCTCCTGTGCCACGTGGGAACTTCGGTTCTGTAAGTTTATCATTAAAGTGTAAATATTCTTTAATATCTGCATTGCATTTATTTACGCTGATACATTTGGGGCCCTCCCCGTGGGGCTTTGCTGAGACCCGGCCCAAATCGGAGCCACTGCTCCTGGCGGTGGTCTCCCTGGGAGCGCGGAAGCAGCTGAGATTCTGAGTGACGCGATTTTCCCTGCTGCTTGCTAGAGAATCAAGCGGGATGGGAGAGGTAGCACTCCCCCGCGTTTTGAAATCGGCAGCACCTCTGTAACAGCGTGATCAGTCTCTGTTCCCCTCCCACCTCCGCCGGCGCTCGGGTCACGTGACAGCGGCCCTGCGAGCCCCGGCACGCCGGCATCCCTCTGATTTGTTCATTTTGGAGGCTTTTCTCTCTGTTCCCATTCTGGTCCAATTGCTACTTATCAGTCTGGTGTCTGTTTCAATTTTGTTTTTGAGTCATTTATTTCAGACTTAGGCCACGTGGACTCAAGTGGACTCTTTCGCCACCACTGGCAAGAACCGGTCATTACAGGTAAAAGAATTTTTTCTTTTATAAATAAAATGTCTAAGAACGTGACAGTTTCAGATTTCAACAGCTTTTTTGAGTGTACCATTTGGGAGATTTTACAAGAGGTGTCTATCACCCCACATCTATGGATATTTCTGGGATTCTTAATTTTCCTTAGCACTATTTGATTTGATAATAGGAAAATGATCAAATCTCTTAAGGCAGAGGTTGAACGTTTAAAAACTATTGAGAATGACAACAATCTTCTCAAGAATCAGTTTGAAGTTCTCCAGGAAGAAAACAGATCTTTGTTTAACATGACTCGGTTAACTGAGCAAAATCTAGAAAAGGTACAGGCTGATGTTAAGGAGAAATTCATTACTATGGAAGAAGGAACAGCTGAATTAGATCGTAAGTTCCAGCAGTCCCTTTCTGTAGGAACTGAAACATTAACTGAGAGAATCAAAACTGCTGAATGTGACAATCGAATTTTGTCTAAAGCTTATGACAGATTGGCGGAAAGATTATCAATACAAGAAGGAATGGTTTATGCCATAAAAATTATGTCCAAAGATGACAAGTTATCTCTAATGGACAAATTTCATACTTTAGAATCCTCAATGAAGGCTTTGGAACATAATTCTGGACAGGAGATTCAGACATTACAAAAAGCAATGGTGAATAAAATTGAAAAGATTGGGGAATTTCTAAATTCTGATGAAGAAGAGCAAAGGGTAGAAAGGCAAATTTTAACTACATCTGTGGATAAATCCCTCAGGGACAATTTCCACAAAGCTTTACCTACAGCTCTACATGCCTTTCCAGTAATAACAACAGAAAAGGTGATTGGTTCCAGAAACCCTAGGGTCATCAAGGAAGATACATGGGAGCCTGTCCGTATGAATGATCTCAAAGAAATTAAACAAGCCGTCATGACTTTTGGGATGCACGCCTCTTTTGTTAAAGAGATGCTAAAATCTTGGGCCACAACAAGCAGAGCAACCCCCTCGGACTGGCTCCAGCTGAGCTCCGCGGTCCTTGAGAGTGGACCGCAATTAAAATGGAAATGCTTATTAAGGCAAGAGGCTAGACTTGTAGAGCAGCAGGAAAAGGCGAAGGGAATTGACATTTCCCTAGATAAAATTCTAGGTGAAGGGATCTTTTCCGACCCTCAGGAACGAGCTAATTTGGAAGAAAACATACTCTCCATGTGTACTACAGCAGCCTTAAGGGCTTGGGACAGAGTACAAGACCCAGGACAGAGAATGGAATCATTTGTCACAGTAAAACAGGGTCAGAGAGAACCCTTTAGTGACTTTTTACAAAGGTTAACTAAGGCTGTACAAATAGGGATATCTGACCCAGAAGCAAGACGTATAATAATTGAGTCTTTGGCTTACAAAAATGCAAATGTGGAATGCAAAAAGATCTTGGGGCCTTTAAAGTTCAGATCAGCGCCCTTGGAAGAATGGGTCTTGCATACACTAAATGTTGACACATTTGACTATGGCACTGAAGCATGGGTAGAAGAAGCAATTTCCAATGGTAAAAGGAGACACCAGAATACCAAATGTTTTAATTGTGGCAAACTGGGTCATATGAAAAGGACTTGTAAACAATGGATTTTCAGAAATAATAATAATGCATCTTCTAGAAATAAGAGAAATAGAAGGACTCAGCCTTCAGGTTTATGTAGAAGATGTGGAAAAGGCAGGCATTGGACGAATGAATGCAGGTCTACAAGAGATAGACAAGGCAATCTGATACAGACGGGAAACGTGAGAGGGGGGCCTCACAGGCCCCCATGGCAAACATGGTTCAGTCATTTCCAGTTTCTGCAGAGAACATGCCTTGTCAGGACAATTAGGAAGCAACATGCCTACTGTTACAAGCACTAGTAATCAGAAAGATGAGTTACGTGTGTTTTGGCAAACTTCTATAAATGATCAAAGACCGAAGCTGAGAGTGTGTGTAAATGGCATTTTTATTACTGGCCTGCTGGACACAGGTGCTGATGTAAATCTTGGCACCCATATTGGCCTCTTCAGAATGTAAATGTTCAGCTCCTGGGAATTGGAACCCTATCTCGAGTAAGGCAGAGCACGAGATGGGTTGAATGTGTAGGGCCTGAGGGACAAATAGGAAAATTAAGGCCATATGTAGCCAATATTGCAATGAATTTAAGGGGTCATGACCTATTACAATAATAGAATACCCAAATTAACATTCCTGCTACTTCTAGAGCCTGTATTTCTGAAAATAATATTAAAAGTTATTACAAACGGAGAAAACCGGCCATTAGGGCTATGCAAGAACAAGCAATTGATGTCCCTTCAGAGATACCAACAGCCTTGCCTCTAAAATGGTTGACTGAGAAACCAATATAGACAAAGCAATGGCCTTTAGCTGAGGAAAAGTTACAGGCTTTAGAACAGCTGGTACAAGAACAACTAGATGCTGGACATATAGAAGAATCTACCAGCCCTTGGAATTCTCCTGTATTTGTGGTTAAGAAAAAATCAGGTAAATGGAGAATGGTGACAGATCTCAGGGCCATCAACAAGGTTATTCAACCTATGGGCCCTCTGCAATCTGGAATTCCTTTGACCTCTTTATTACCAAAAGGATGGCCTCTCATAGTTATTGATTTAAAGGATTGTTTTTTTCACTATACCTTTGCAAAAAGAAGATAGAGAAAAATTTGCCTTCACAGTGCCTACTTAGAACAATTCTCAACCTTCGAGGAGGTACCATTGGGCCGTCCTCC